CCTGCTTCTCCCTCTCCCTCCACCTGCTTGTGTTCCCTCTCTCGCTGTGTCTCTGTCAAATAAATAAATAAAATCTTTAAAAAAAAAAAAAAAGAAAATTGCTGAATATATTCCGTTCCCCTGGGCCGAGGAGGCTGACCTAGGAAAGCCCAGCTCCCCATTCCAGTGGGTATCCGTATTGCGGGTTGTGTGTGTGTGTGTGTGTATGTGGGTGTTTTCGGGGCAAGGGTCTAGGTTACTCCTCCTCTCCTCTCCTAGCTCGCAATGGGGCAGGAGCCAGTCTCCAGGACCACCCGCCACCAGGTATGACACTCCTACCTCTGAATGAAGGACCTGGACAGTAATCCCTACCCCATAGCTCCTCCCCAAACCAGCCTCTCCTGCCTTTTTTTCTGTTGACCAAGAGGGTGGCCAGAACAAACAGTGGAGCAGATAAGTTGGCCTTGAGCCCAGGACACTAGCCTCTGCTCTTACACTCGCGAGGGGCTGACAGAGCCCATGCAGCGGGGAGGGTACGACATCCATACCCTCCCCCACTGGTCCTTTCCCGCTGCTCCAGCCCCTCCCTCCAAACTCCCATCGACTTTCTGCAGCTCCCCTATGTCTCTGTGGCGCATCATCAATGTTTCCAAAAACCTAGGTGTAAATCCACTCCCCTTTTAAATATGTCCCAGGAAAACGTGCACTTTCAAGGAACCAGGTGATTCATAAAGTTAAAAATCCTTCGGTCAACTGTTAACAGTGGTTACTTTTGGGGAGAGGGATTGGGTAGGGGAGGAGGGAGACATTTACTTTTTATTGTTCTACCTTTCTGTATTGTTTACATTCTTCAGCAGGTGGAGGCATTGATTTTATTTAAAAAATGTCAACAGGGATTATCTGACTCACACGCAGCATGACAGGCCCCTTTAGTTTCTCTGTATTCTTGCTGCATTTGTTAAAAGCTGAATAAATGTCATTGAAAATGAAATTAAGAATTAAAAAGCCATTAGTAAAGGGAGAAATGAGCTCTCGGTATTTTTTTTTTTTTAAGATTTTATTTATTT